TGTATGATCTGGCATTAAAGTCCAGTGCTCGAACATCCGAGACCCTCTTACAGGAGACGAGACAAAACAAACAGACTAGTTTGGCTGAAAGTTGTCTTAGGGAGAGCGCGGAATTAGTTTGCCAAGAAGCGAGGAAGGATAACACCACCGATACATCCCAGGTCGCAGTGTAGCGCGGTCTGGGTGGCCGAGAGAGGCGAGAACCTTTAAGGAGTCGGCATACCAAGGGGAGCTGGCCCGCCGGGCAGCCATCAAACCCCTGATGTGTTGAGGAGATGGCTGATCGGTATAGTTTGATGGTTCTGTATGCCTTACCTGTTTCAAAGAGGGAAGTCAGGAACTGTAGGACCGCAGTTACAGGGGCTGAAACGGGATCCATGTCCCGAGCCAGGCACCAACCAGCCCAAGCTCGCCAAGCTGACCCATATGCCCGTTTAGTGCCGGGAGCCCATGCTGCTGCCAGTAGGCATCTAGTAGTGTCTGAAACTCCCTGGACCTCCCAGGGTCCCCTGAAATCCGCCACGCCAGCAGCGGGAGGGAGCCCTCTAATGGGAGAGGGTGGCAACACCCTATCAGATCCAGTAGAAGTTCCTGGGAGGGTGGCAACAGTCTGGGATAATCTACCGTCATCCCGAGAAGTTGAGGGAGCCATGATTGTGTTTCCCAGAACGGGGTCACTAGGACCAATTCGGCCTGATATCTGCAAGAGTGTAGAAGGGTGCGAGGGATCATGGAGAACAGGGGAAAGGCATATAGGAGGTCTCCGCTCCAAACCTGCAGGAAGGCGTCCACTGCCTCCGCCGCCGGATCCGGCCTCCAGCTGAAGAATCGAGGGAGCTGGGTGTTGAGCCGGGAGGCGAATAGGTCTATGGCAAAAGGTCCCCAAAGAGACGATATACTGGAGAACACGTTCGTGTCCAATTTCCAGGCGCTGGCATCCGATAGATATCGTGAGCCCAGTCCGCCTGGACGTTGTGCAGTCCTGGCTGGTATTCCGCTTGAACCACCAGATCCCGGTCTAAGCAAAAGTCCCAAAAGTCTTTCGCCAATCTGGCCAGGACCACAGATTGAGTACCGCCCAAGTGGTTCACCACTGATACATTGTCCATGCGGAGGCGGATGCATGTATTGGCTTGGTTCCTCGCGAAGCTGCGGATCGCGAAGGAGCCTGCCAAGAGTTCCAATGCTTTGATGTGGAGTCGGGATTCTGATTCCGACCAGCGACCCCCTGTCGCCACACCCTTGCAATGAGCCCCCCAGGTATGGAGGCTCGCATCGGAGTCAATGGTGAACTAAGGAATGGAGCCGAAGATTGCCCTGCCGTTCCAAGCAGATAGGTTGAGGATCCACCATTGCAATTCGTCCTTTGTCTCTTTGTCGAGCGATACCAGGTCCGCGTAGGATGCGCCAGCCCTCAGGTGAGCTATTTTTAAGCGTTGCATCGTACGGTAAAGAAGCGGACCCAGGAACACTACCTGAATGGAGGCTGCTAGGAGGCCGATGAGGCGCGCCAGTTTCCTCAAGGTGAGTTGCGGTCGTATGAGAGCCCTGTGGAGCTCCTTGCGTATTGAACGAGTCTTGGACCCTGGAAGGCTCAAAGTGGCCGCCTCCGTATCCACTAGGAATCCCATACGAGTGGCGGGAGTCAGGCACGACGTTTCCTGGTTGATAATGAAACCCAGGCGGGAGAGCAGGTTCGTTGCCAGCCGCAGGTGTGCCAGAAGTATGTCGCGATCCTGGGCCATGAGCAGGATGTCTTCTAGGTATATGATTAGACGAATGCCTCGACTGCATAGCCAGGCCATAGCTGGGCGCAGCAGTTTTGTGAAGCACCATGGTGCTGATGATAGGCCAAAAGGGCAGGCATGTAAACCGCCAAGTCCCTGTCCGCCAATGGAAACGCAGGAGATCTCGGGATGCTTCGGCTATAGGCACGGTGAGATATGCATCCTTGAGATCCAGCTTTACCAACCAGTCCCCCTGAAGGAGTAGATCTCTCAACAGATGGATACCCTCCATCTTGAAATGGCGGTACCTGACCATAGCATTGAGTGGGCGCAGGTTTATGACTGGGCGCATTTGCCCTCCTTCTTTCCCACTAGGAAAATATTGCTCACGACTCCCGTGGAGTCCGGGGGTGCCCGTTCTATCGCTCTCTTGGTGAGGAGCGAGGATAGCTCATCGTCGATTGACCTGCAATCCCGGATGGAGAAGCAGATTGGTCGAGGAGGCGGGATAGTTACAGGGTTCCCTACAAAGGTCTATGTGGAAACCTCCCCGGGGTCGGAGGTATCTGTGCCCAGGCTGGGAAAAAATGTTGGAGTTTGCCCCCTACACAAACATGCGAAGAAACATGAGGTATGAGTAAACTCACGATAGGGTCTTCTGGAGCTGGTGTTACCACAGAAACCTCTGGATCGCGACGGGCATCCGCGTGATGGGAAGAATGGGGAGCGGGCATTTGTCTCCTGGAAGTTGGAGCGGTGCTGAAAAGAGCCTCGTCCCAAGCCACGGGACTGATCTGCCGGCCCTGGTGGAGACCCGTCCCTGAAAAACCCGTCTTATGGAGGTTTGGCCTTGTCAAGGGCCGTAAATGTCCCCACAAAGCGCCCCAGGTCTTTAATGAAGGAGTCGCCAAATAATAATGCTTGGGCGTCCTTCCTAGCCTCTGTTAGGGCAAGGTTGGCCAGTTTAGGCTCCATTTTAAACAAAATGGCTTTACGCCGTTCAATAGAGAGGGAGGTGTTTATACTCCCGGCGATACAAATAGCTCTGGCATCCTCCGCCAGTTCGAAAAGTTTTGCCAGTGGGCCAAATATGTCTAAATGTTTATCCTGGCATGCTTTCAGGGCAGAGTCTAGGGCCTTACGTGGGTTCCAGCCCAATTTAGTTAGGAACTGGGATATTTTCGGATCAACTTCAGGGGTATCACAGACTTTATTTGGCACCGTAGGCCTTGGGCAATCTGCCCTCAGGTTTGTTCCGTGCCGCTTTACTGAGCGGGCGTCGTACCCAATTTTCAAGGTTTGGACTTATGGGTCGCCTTCTTAGGTGCGCCCTCAGACAGGTCCATAGTGGGACGCGGAAAAGGCGTCGTGGAACCTGACGTTTACGCGTCCAAAGGACATGGCAGGAAGGCCTGGGAGATGGTATGTGAAAGGGTAGAAGACACCCTTTCACATCGAGCGCTGTAGCGCCAAGAATTGGTCCCCTTCAGGTTGGGTGGGTCTACCTGCCAGAGTAGATGGCATGTCATAGATGACAGGGGTCTCTCCCAGAAGCAAGGGGGGAACAATCACCCCAGAGGGTGGTGAGCTGGAAGGCATCCTGGGTTTGAGCATATTGGATGCAGCTCAATATTCCTACCAGTGAGATTACAGGGTAGTAAGGGTTAGTCACCCAAACTATAGGGACAAAAGAATGACAGGGATCTCACCAGGGTCCAGACCAAAGGGACACACAGACACACACGAGGTAGTATGAGAGACAGGAAGTCGGAAAATGGCCGCCGCGAGTCTCGCGAGAGTCGCTGCAAAACCAGCGAATTCGTCAATAGAAAAAGAACCGAACGTGCGGTAAAATAGGCGAATTCGTGTGAATAAAACAGACAAATGTAAAGACAGACGAAGGAGTAAAACGCACAAACCAATTAGTTGAAAGCGGCAATTACGCGAATGTTGCTATATGCCGGTGGAACTAACGAATGGTCTGGATTCGTGAATTTAGCCGGATGGCATGATTCATGCACAAAACAGCCAAACAGAACGGAGAGAAGCAGCGCAAAATGGCGCCAGAGGACAGGGAGAGGAGAGATGGTGAGAAAAGGAATAAGCGATAGGAGCAATCATAGAAGAAGTCAAACTGAGAGTGCACAGATATATATTTCACACAGAAGGTCTGGAACCCTGGGAGACAACAATATGTATATACAGACATATAATAAACATAAATAGATAAACTGAGGAGAAAAAAATTCCTTAATAGAATCAAATAAAAGAATAGTATTGAATCTGTCAATAAAGAAGAAAAAATAGAACAATAAATGACAATAAATAGCAGAATAACAACCATAACTGACATAATAAATAAGTAATCAATGAGAGAAAAATGTGAGCTGTTACTTATCTTTGGAGCAGCAAAGAAAGAGGGAAATGGAAGGGAAGTGCTGCCTATTATACTGGGACCTGTGCACGGAGGGGCCTATGTTACTGTATGTTCATTATTTTATTTTTCATTCTGTTTGTATCCTTTGCTGCTATTGGTGGACAGTAAAGAAAGGGATATGCAATACTCGCCTCCGTATCTTTCATAAAATTCCCACCTCGGGATCTGTATAGATCCAGGACACCAATAGATGGACTGCAAAAAAATGTGACTGAACTTTTATTACAGTAAAAAACAATAAAATAAATAATAGCAATCAAAATACAAAATGGGCCAACACTTAAAGGGAAACTATAGACCTCTGAACAACTTTAGCTTAATGACGCAGTTTTCGTGTATAGATCAGGTCTCTCAGGTTTCACTGCTCAATTCACTGTCATTTAGGAGTTAAATCACTTTGTTTCTGTTTGTTTTTTTTTGTTTATGCAGCCCTTGCCACACCTAACCTAGCTCTGATTGATACAGCCTGCACACACACACACACACACACACAAAAAAAAAAAAAAACTGGTTTCACTTTCAATCAGATGTAATTCATCTTGAACAATTTTAGCTCTTGCTCTGTAAATTATTTTATTATTTATATAGCACCATCAGATTCCGTAGCGCTGTACAATGGGTCAACTAACAGACAGCTGGACGTACAGGAACAGAGAGGTGGAGGGCCCTGCTCAATGAGCTTACATTCTAGTGGATAGAACTTTATTCACATACAGGACCATGGTCTGATGTCACATATATCTAAAAACAGCTTGCAAAACATGCAGATCTTTTGTCTGCAGCTTTTACAAGCCCTCCCTTACTAACCCCGCCCAGCCTTTCTGTGGCTGTCCAATCACAGGCTTCCTAATGCAGCTCAATGAGAAGTCTTTGCAAGGCAGGTGCTCTGGGCTATTGCTGCCTCTTAAATGTATCGTACACTGAGCTTAACAACCAGGAAGTAATATGACCTGTTGGCTGCTTAAAAGCCAGGGGGTGTAACCAGGTTAATTTATAAAATTGTAAATTTCTAGTAAAGTCTATTGTATTCCCCACCCTATTGTTTTAAAAAGCAGTTTATGTCTCTAACCGATACTTGCGGCTCCTTAAAAATTGTTAAAACTCATCTTTAATCCAGCGTTGCCATAGACCTGCCCCTGATCCACTTCCTTGGATGACAATCAGAATCTATGAGTTTGATGATCTTTCTCATAGGAAAGCATTGGATTGGCTATGATGATCTCAGCCAAAGATGCAGGGCCAAACCCTCCTACATAGGATCCCTTGGTAGGTATGGATTGACACATATCCCAGGGTTGCCTGATACACACTGCCACAGAGTAGAATAGGGACTGTCCCGCCTACAAAGGGTCACTTGGTAGGTATTATTATTGCCATTTATATAGCACCAACAGATTCCGTAGCGCTTTACAAGATGCATTGACACCTGTATCCAGTGACTTTGATACACACTGACACACAGCAGAATAGGGACTGTTCCACCTACAAAGGGTCACTTGGCAGATATGGATTGACTCCTGTCCTCAGGGACCCTGATACACACTGACAGAGCAGAATAGAGACTGTTCCCCCTACATAGGGTCACTTGGCAGATATGGATTGACACCTGTCCTAAGGATCCCTGATACACACTGACACAGAACAGAATAGAGACTGTTCCTCCTACATAGGGTCACTTGGCAGATATGGATTGACACCTGTCCTAAGGATCCCTGATACACACTGACACAGAGCAGAATAGAGACTGTTCCTCCTACATAGGGTCACTTGGCAGATATGGATTGACACCTGTCCTAAGGATCCCTGATACACACTGACACAGAGACAATGAAGAGGATTGACAGCTACTCATCACGTGACACCCAGTCGTATGACGTAACATTATGTTCTAGTCCCCGCCCCTCGCTGCGCGCGCCCGCTCCCTTTGTTTATGAGGTGAAGTGGCGCGCGGGTTTTGGCGCGCTGCTCCCCGTGCACGCGCACCGCAATGTTCGTAAATCGGCGGAAAAAAACCCGAATACCGTATCGGGGAGCGGGATTAGCGGGCCCGGGGAGGGCAGCGGCTCCGAGTCCTCAGATCAATCCGGTTTATGTGGAGAATTATCAGTAATAAAGGTCCCAAGCCGTATACTGTATCCGAGCCCTGACACTGTCCGTCTGTCCGTGTCCGGGCACTCCGCGAGCGTAATGTCCGCTTAGTACATAACAACAAAACTGCCCGACCGCGCCTGTACTCAGCCTGTGAAACATGGATCCCAGTTTTATACCCGCCCGCGCCGGTCTGTGCGCAGCACGTACACTGTGACACTGAGCAATGCTCGCTCCCCCCCTCCCTCTCTGTGTGTGTGTCGGGCCCGCCCGCCCGCGCCTGTCTGTGCAATCAATACAGACTGTGTGTGTGTGTGCCGGGCCCGCCCGCTCCATTCTGCGCGCTGTGTGTGTGCCGGGCCCGCCCGCTCCATTCTGCGCGCTGTGAGTGTGTGAGTGCCGGTCGGTCCCCGCTCGGTGTGTTGCGGGCAGTGTGTGACTGTCTCTCTCTCTGTCTCCCCGCCTCCCTCCCTCACGTGTCCCGGCAGTCAGTCAGGCGGTGCGGGGCAGGCCGGCCGGGCAGGCAGGCAGGCGGTGCGGGCGGGCAGGGAGCTCCTCACATGACCCGTGTGTTTGTCCCCGTGATCAGCTCCGTCAGGCCTCCCGCCTCCTCCCCGGGCCCCGGGCCCCGGCCCTGCACAGCCTGACCCGGGGGAGCGCCCGAGCCCCGACACATGGACATGCTGGATCAGGGCCTCGACTCTACTGCCAGGTGAGAAATCCAGCCCGGGGCTGCGGCCTAGCCCGATATACACCGCGATATACCACGATACCCTGCGATATACCGCGATATACCACGATACACAGCCAGATACCCAGCCAGTTACCCCCCCGGGGGGGCAGATACCCCCCCCCCAGATACCCAGCCATTTACCCCCCCGGGGGGGCAGGTACACAGCCAGTTACCCCCCCGGGGGGGCAGATACCCAGCCATTTACCCCCCCGGGGGGGCAGATACACAGCCAGATACCCCCCCCCGGGGGGCAGATACACAGCCAGATACCCCCCCCCCCCGGGGGGCAGATATACAGTTTGTTACTCCATGTCACCTGCTAGGGGTAATGGGGCAGTTATATCTTATATTACCGGGAGGGGCAACGTGTCATTATTATACCCCACATCATTATTGAAGGATTATGCCTCATAACACTAGGGAGGGGGAAAGATTATATTTCACTTTACCTGGCAGGGGGCAACAGTGCAGGATTATTCCCCAATATTACTATAAAGGGGGCTGGATTATAAACCATATTATTTTATTACTGGCATTATATAGCGCCAACTTATTATAACGCAGAGTTTCACAAAATTTATAAAGAAGGAAATTGAACAATAAATGGGGGGCGTCAGCAATATTATACCCCGTATCATTGGAGAAGGATTATACCCCATAACATTAGGAAGGGGGCAACTGTGTACGATTATAATTCACCTTACCTAGGTAGGTGGGAGGATTCTGTATCACCAGGAAGGGGGCAACGGGACAGGATAATATCCCATATCACAATAGAGGGAAAACAGGGCAGAGTTATTAACTATATTATTATTATTATTATTATTATTGGCATTTATGTAGCGCCAGTTTATTCTGCAGCGCTTTAGAACATTATGAATGTGAAATTCAACAATACCTAAGAGAATTACAGGAACAATAGGTTGATGAGTATCCTGTTCACAGGAGCTTACAAATCATTAGGAAGGCGGGCATCGGGCAAGATTTTAACATCTATCACAACGAAGGGACAACGGGGCAGATTAACAGGGCAACAAGACACGATTATAACTGGATATTATCCAGTTTGCAAGGGTGGGAGAAATTAGGGCCGATAATGTGTATATTTGTGTGCAGCTTTGCAATAGACATATTTACTAAATTATAGCTCAGTATGGCTTTGTGTTTGCCAAGCCTCCAGCTCATAGTGGCTTCATTTGCCATCAGCTGACGAACACGTAAAGGTGGTGGCAAGAGGGGAAAAGGCGGTATATATCAAGTCACATTCTCCTTCTGGGTGCCAGCTTTAAAGTGGCCATGCCTCCTGCTGAGTGGTTGGCTTTGCAAGTGACAGTATCACTTTAAATGATGTTCACTGCATTCCATCTAAAGACCGTCTCTTCTTTAAACTGCAGTGGTCCAATAAGAGTAATGATAAAAAAAAGAATCCTCTATATATTGTGTGCACTCTGCATGTTAGAGACACATTTAAGGACCTCATTCTATTTGGCAATAATATGTCTTCCGACAGACCCACTCTCCAATTGGAGATTACAACAATAAGCCCAAAGCAAAACTGTCTATGATAATTATATAATGCAATGCTAACATTTGCATACTTGACTGTGCATGGTGTACGCTATGCAACATGATTGCAAACACAAATGCAGGAAGGCCAGAAAACTGCTCTATTGTTGCATTGTTTGCCAACACTAGAAGGGACTATTTAAATTATAACGCATTATATATTTTGGAGTAATTTTTTTTTCATACAGCATTTAAAACATGCTGATGTGTAATTCGGGCTTGCTTGGGCATCCTAAGTTTCTACCTAAACAAACTGTCTACTTAGCTTTCTCTTGATAAAATACTACCTTATCTGAAGTGTGAATTCCAAGTGCAAGTGTTTTACTGCAGAAGCATGCATTTACGCTGAACAAACCTGAAAACCAGTTAAGCAAAAAGACTCAACTTTTAGATAGAAAGTGGAGAAGGATTGAATGTAGCAAATATACCTTTTTTAAGAAAATCAGTTCATTATAAAACATTAAACTAGGAGGTGTATTCTTCCTTCTCACTTTTGATAGATATGAATCTTCAACACCTCTACAATACAATGATGTATTAAAGTGAAATTCAAATGAATAATACTGCCTATAGTTTTATCAGATACTTAATGTGATTTTTTACGTTTTATCCATGGTGACTTTTCTATTTACAATTAATGGAAGTTAATTTAACAATCTGTGTGTTTGGGTTGGCCCTATATTACCAAATAATCTACCAGCTCTATAATTATCCAACAGTCACAATTTAGGGCCCACTGGCGATATTGGAGGAATGCCTCAAAAATGTTGAGTGGTAATGTCATTAAAGGACACTAGAGTCACCAGAACAACTTCAGCTTTATGTGGTTGTTCCTGCAGGCATTTTCATGTAAACACTGCCTTTTCAAAGAAAGGTCAGTGTTTACATTACGGTCTAGGAACACCTCCAGGGGCAGTTGCCCAGACACCCACTAGAGGTGCTTGTTAGGTCAGTGCTTCACAATTTGCAGCACTGACATTGTGTCTCCACTATCTGCATGGAGGCGCTGAACTTCCCCCATAGCGATGTTGATTGGCCAATGTGTCGTTTTGTTGCTCTTGCGCGATAGCCTCCTACTGCTTATTAGAAAGCATTGGTTTGGCTGAGAGAGTTAATTTTTATGGTCTCAGCCAAGGGTGCGGCGCCGGAGGACTCGCCTAGCGCTGGAATTAATGTGCGTTTTAATTCCTTTTAGTGAGTGATGGGTGCCTAATATGTGTTCTTAACACTACAAGGTCAGGAATACATGTTTGCATTCCTGACCCTATAGTGTTCCTTTAATATGCATGCTCGATCCAATCTGCTGGTTGAAACTTCAGGCTGGAATATCTTTTAAATGAACACTCAAGTACCATAACCACTACAGACCATTGTAATGATTTTGGTGCCTGCAGTGTGATGGCACTGTCACAGAAAAAATTGTCAAACTTTTTCTAGAGCGTTTTGACACATTATTCTGGATGATCCCCAGGGCATTCATGACACCATAGCCACTACAGCCAACTACAACTCCCATAAATTTCCAGTCATATTGAATGTGCTGCTATTCATTTACACACAGCTATATTCACTGTTGAATGAACTGGGCTGCGTGCAGTGATCTGCATGAGGGAGGAGAAAGCTCTATTAAGATCACGCATGTGGCATCCAAAGAGAATTGTCTACCTGATTGACAGCTCTGAGGGCTGTCTTACAGCTGCAGCAAACTTTACATATTTGACAGTTATAAGTCTCTGTAGCACATTAGAGTGGCTGCAGGGTACTCTCTGCACCTTAAATTTGACAACAATGAAATATGTTAAGGTGTTAGAAATTATAACCCTTTAAGGACCAAATTTCTGGAATAAAAGGGAATCATGACATGTCACACATGTCATGTGTGTCCTTAAGGGGTTAAACTAATGGAAGGTGCAAGGGAGTTTTTATTTGTGTTTTAATAGTTTCCAATTCTCAGTGCACAACAGTCTTGCTGATAAAGGTAGCATCAGCCAGGAACCTGTCCCACTGATATAACTCCGAATATTTGTACATATTTGATGCTCTACCTGCAGAAGAGCCTGGACTCTGCCTGACACTGCCAGCAGGACCCTGTTGTAGACAAATAATCTGCCATTGTGGCTCTTCCTCGGTTTAAGTTCAGGCATGGTGACACAAAACTAGAAATGAAACAAAAAGAGCCAAGATGAAGATATACAGAATTAATTATCCGTTATTTTCTGAGCCTGGCACCAATAGCTGTTGTGGTTGATATGGTAAATGGAATGCTGAAGGAACCTCACACCTGTTGATAAGTACAAGCGAGTTATAGATTGTGTTTTTAGTTTAATAACTTTGTCAATATATTTTTTTGATGTTATATGGTATGTAAATTACCACCTGTGATGCCATAACAAGACGGCACATGCTCAACACTGTTTAAAGAATGCTGCAGCTCTCATGAACTGATACTGCATTTCAATGCAAAGTCTGTGAAATGTATTTGTGTCACACTGTAATACACATTTTAAGTGAGCCTCTGGGAGCAGCGGTCAATACCATGTCTGGCCCAATAGTATACCACTAAACGTTGTGCTTGTCCATGCAGATTGATATAGGTCATTCTGAATTGACTCACCTTATTACAATAGCCAGGAGTTTGGAAATCTAAAATAAGCCAATCTACGTGTCCATAATGACATTCTAAAGGTTTAGTCCAGTCTAATTGTCTGTCATGACAGACTTCTTGACCTGACACTAAGTAATTCAAATTAGAACATTTGGGGTCATTGGCCGGTGATATTTAATAAAGTCTGTATTTTTCCAAAATTACATAAAAATGACAAAACTGAGGCAAACAATAGCTGGTATGGAAATTCCCCAACTAAGTTCTAACTGCAGCTAGCTATTTTTGTCTTTGTAATTTGCAAAAAGTTGGAGTTTAGTCTCTTGCCCCCTGTCCTGATAGTGTGTTGGCTTGGTGTAATGTTTGTGTGGTGTGTGCTGGCTTCATGCAACTCTAAACCTGTCCTCCTTCAGTTATATTATGCATACAACGCTGTATTAGTTTCCAGCATTCAATGCCTTCAAGGAACCCATGCAGGAGCCCTGCTGCTTGCACACAGCAGGGATAAAGGACAAGAAGAAACAGTGTGAAACCCAGAGCTGTATGTCCTGGGCATTGGGTGATACAGGTTCCACAGCCTTGTAGACTGCAGTCTGTGGTGAGACAGAAGCTTGTGGCTTCAGACGTCCAAATGTCTAGAGCAGGGGTAGGCAACCTTTTAGCAGCACTGTGCCGATATAGGATTGTGATGTCCCGTAGCGTGCCGATCCTATTTTTTTAAATTGAGGTGTGTATGCTGCCGTACTCTGCTTGTGTTATTTTTACTGTAATTGCTTTGTATCGTTCTATTTGTGCGTATATGAGCTATTATATTGTATATGTTCATTAGTAGTTTATGGTATTGTGTATGATACATATGAATGTGGGCTGTGTATGAGGGTTGCTTGTGGAATTGTGTGTGGATGGATATGTCACATTTTGTGTTTGGTAGTATGTGGGGGCTGTTTGGGTTATTGCATGTGAGAGACTGCATGTGGGGTTGTGTGCATGTATGTATATGGTTAGTGGTGTTGTGTGTGTGTGTGGGCTGTTCATATTATTTGTATGAGGGGAGGGTTATTCTACATTTCTGTATATATCTAGCAGTGTGGGTGGGTTCCAGTGGGGACCAGGCTGGCCAGGCACAGGTAGCTGTCGAGGGCTGCTCTACTACAGTGTGGATTCCCATTCACAAGTGCTGGGAGGAAGTGATCTGAGATCACTTCCTCTATGTGCTGCAATGCATAAATTGAGGTTTGTCCTTCACCACCTCTTCATATTAGCAGATATCTGAAGTTTTACTGGGACTCCTGATAGGCCAGAGTGCGTTTGGCTCTAGCAGCCTTGAGTGCCATGCAAAGACACCTCGAGTGCCGTGCATGGCACTAGTGCCGTAGGTTGCCTACCCCTGGTCTAGTGACAGTGATACTGCTGGTGCCGCCCAGACCTATAGTAACTAGTAATTTGTGACACATTTCCCTCTAGCTTGTTGGCTTACCCACAACTGGATGCTTACAATTGAATGTAATCAACAAAGACATTTTATTCTCCCCTTATACAGTTTTCAGAACAGATACAAGCCACGAACTGTACAGAGCAGATACAATTTATATTGTTTTAATGAGCATTCTTTGTCTTCTGTTGCTTGCCTTTAAATCTCACACTGGTTGATATTTCTTGTAGATACTGCAGCTCCTGTAATCCTCCTTCCTTATCTATTACATATATTTAAAATAAGCACAAACTGTACATAAAGCATGGTAAGGTTCTGCAATACTCCCACTAACGTGAAGTTTAGTCTGAACATGTACGTTCAATTAAACGGACACTATAGTCACCAGAATAATTACAGCTTAATGTAGTTGTTCTGGTGAGTATAATCGCTCTCTTCAGGCATTTTTATGCAGAAATTTCAGAGAAAAGGCAGTGTTTACGTTGCTTCCTGGCTCAGTGCTGCACAGTAGGCAGCCGTGCCGTTCAGCGCCCCCACGCTCTGCATGGAGACGCTGAATTTTCCTCATAGAGATGCATTGATTCAGTTCATCTCTATGAGGAGGTCCTGATTGGCCAAAACGGCCAATCCCTATGGGAAAGCATTGGATTGGCTAAAAATCGGCCATTTACGGTGCAAGAAATAAAATGAGTTTTAAACTTTTATAGGGGGGCTAAAAGGGGGGGCAAGCCACCTAAATGGTGGGTTTAGCACTATAGGGTCATTGTTTAGAAGTGTTAGTGCTATGCAAAAATAAAAAACTAATGGTAACGCGTAGCAGTCCTAAAATTTCATGCGTTAGTGTACAGCCAAATTTATAGATTCAGTAGTATTAACATGACAATTCCAGCACAGTGACAACTTATAGACTGTAAGCTCGATTGAGCAGGGTCCTCTTCAACCTATTGTTCACGTAAGTTTTTTTTTTTTTTTGTAATTGTCCTATTTATAGTTAAATCCCTCTCTCATAATATTGTAAAGCGCTACGGAATCTGTTGGCGCTATATAAATGGCAATAATAATAATAACTTGTGTTATAGACTGCCTCCCAGCGTTCTGTGCAATATATCTGCAGTGATAAGCTTGCACTTGTTGGAAGTGGAGCTTCAGCCTGAGTTTTATATGTACTTGATTGAAGCATGCCTGCAGGATGATGGCATTTTATATAAGCACCCCTCTGAGAAGCACCATCATAACAGTGGATTATTCTGAATTAAGCTATAAGTAAAAGAGCAGCACTAGCTCTTTCATTGAACACTATAAATAATCCTCTAATTGGTTACAGACGTCTATGTAGAATTCTACTCTACAACTACTGAGACAGGCGGGAAAATATATATTTCTAATTTCTCACTAGTATCAAATTATTTGCATATGTCTTATGTTTTCTGTATAAAGCATAAGAATAACTATCTCCCATCCAAATAAATATACTGTTATCCGCTCCTCAAGCCACACAATATTTACCTGGAAAAAAAACAAAACGTCAAGGTGTAGTAAATAGTCTTACTTATGTGATCTTACCCCTGCCAAACAGTGGTTGAAACAGACACTGTTTTGTCACCCTTGCAAATAAATTCAATACATTGCTTATAGCAGTAGCATCAGTGGAATCACACGCTGATACTAGGAAGATCTAAGGTGTTTTTGTAAATATAAGTTTATTAAACGTGAATGGCTCGCTGAGATTTTAAAATGGAAGTATGAGTCTTTATCACAAAGTACAAGAAAAACAAGCCCTGGCATTGTTGGTGATGTTACAAGACGTGAAGTGGATGCTAAATTGAAGTAAATACATAAAAAATCTTGCATTGCTTCTCTGTTTGGGTATCACAGATATGTAGCTTATTTAAAACGTATGTTTTCAGTGAAGTGATAATGATAAATGACCATGTGTAAATAAGAGGCCTTATCAAGTAAACACAGAGTTTGTACAGTTCTGTTTGGAAGCTGTTACACCCTTCTTGAGGATTTGAGACAACTGGCAAAGAAACTGGGAAGAGTGTATGCTGATGGGTAAATGTAGAAAGCTGCATCGGGTCCAGAAGTCTTTAAATAGGACCCAACTACAGCATCTACACATATATATTTGGCTAATATAGAGTGAATACACTTGGTTTATCATTAATGCTTTGTTGTGCTCGTTATTTGGAAGCAACCCATTTAATCCTTCTTTGTTAAAGGTATGAAAGGAACATTGAAAAAGGAAAAAAGATAGCAGTGTTTGGGCAGTGACTTTAGTTTACACGGAACCTTTGTAAAATGCAGAATTTGGTTTCATGGATATACTGGCACTTATGATGCCAGGGGCACGCAGTAACAAAATTCACCTGGCGATCTTGACATTTGTAGGTGAAAGCCGCATGGCCTTAAGGGATTTATTTATTTGGTCATGCTATCTTTCGTAAGTGGGTGTGGCGGAGCTCCCTGTACTCCGCCGGGGACCGCTTCCTAGCTGGAGAACAGATAGGGGACTAACTCTGTGTGCTCCTAAGGGCGACACAGCCCTGGGAGCTTCTTAGTCCGTACAAGGACTTTCCCCGCTGCATCCTCCACGAGCTGGAGCAAGCTGGCACAGTGATTGACCCTTCCCAAACTGGACGTCACACAGTTCTGGGGTCTAACTCTCAATGCTTTACTGGTACAGTCAATTTATACACAGACTCCCGCAGGGGGTCTCCACTCTTTTCAGTACAAGTCTTTCAATTTTAGACGGGAGGGGGATGGTTCACAGATAACCATCTCCCGCTGTGGGAGATACCAATAATACATACAGTAAAGCACATCACAGATATTGGGTGAAAGGGCGCAAAACCTGTTTGCACCAATCGGTGCTCAGGGACTAGAGGTCTTTCGCTGCCCAATCAAGAGAAAGGGCGCAAAACCAGTTTGCACCAATCGGAGCCCAGGGAGGAGAGGGGTTTTGCTGCCTAATTGGGGGAGAGAGCACGAAACCCCATTTGAACAGGCACTCCTTTACCTATTTCCGTTTGTGCAGCTCCAGTGCGAACACTGGGCAAAGAAGTATCTCCTTTCGGGATACGAATGCTCCCCTTGGGTGGCGTTCGCCTATACAAAATGGCGGCCACCCAGGGGAGCACTCAGTTACTTCCCTTGCGGTTTCGCATTTGTTACTGGTGTGAACACTCCAATGAGGTATCTAGGTGGCCCTCGTTCGGGAGACTAACGAGTTCTGTTCGTAGGAGCACTCCTGAACGGTAAGCAGTTCATATTACACAAAATATAAGGGGAAACACACAATACAAGGGAAAAACAAATGCATAAGCAGTGGGCATGGTACTCAGTGACAGCGGTTCGTCACAGTGGGTGGTCTTTTAAAAAAAAAAAAAAAACTATAGGCACCCAGACCTCTTCATCTCTGGGTTCCTTGTCCCCGTCCCCTTAGCCCTGCCATGTAAAACATTGGAGTGTAAAGACTGCTTCTAGTGGCTGACTCCCTGTATATACACGGAATTTAACTTTGTGAAATGATGCTGGATGTCCTCACACTCGGCATGAGGATGTCCAGCATCTTCAAATCCCCCATAGGAATGCATTGAGCATGTACATTAAATTTCCCCCATCGCACAAACTCCTAGCGCATCAAGCAGATGACCTATGCGCCCCTATCACCACTGACGAAGTACTCTGCCAGGTAGACAAAATGCCAAAAGGGAAGGCACCAGGCCCAGATGGCTATACCAACATGTACTACACCACCTTCAAACACGAACTGATCACAGCCCTCACTAGCTTCTACAATGAGGCCACCAGACGTGGATCTTTCCCAAAGGAATTCTTATCAGCTCATGTTATCACCATCCCCAAACCGGGTAAACCCCCCACTACAAGCCAAAATTTCAGACCAATTTCCCTCTTAAATGCTGACGCAAAACTATATGCTAAAATATATGCAGAACGTCTCAAAACAATCCTACCGACACTAATCCACACGGACCAGGTGGGGTTCGTGACAGGCAGACAGGGGCCGGACAACACCAGGAAGGTGTTGAACCTATACAAAATACTAAAGCATACCAAACAACCAAGTGTCCTACTATCTCTTGACGCCGAAAAGGCATTCGACCGACTAAACTGGCACTTCCTCCATGAAACCCTACAAGCTTACGGACTTCCAGCCCCCTTCCTATCTGCAGTCAACGCACTATACAGCACACCCACGGCAACAGTGCTGAATTCCGGGTTCTGCTCAAGAACTTTCCCAATAACAAATGGGACCCGACAAGGGTGCCCCTTATCCCCTCTCCTCTACGTGCTGGCCTTGGAACCCTTGGCTATAGCAATTCGCAGCAATGTCAGTATCCATGGGGTACCGACGGGCAACACAGAATATAAACTCAGCTTATTTGCCGATGACATCTTTCTCACGCTCACGCAACCGCTCATATCACTCCCATCCCTACACACGGAACTCCAGGCTTACAGCCAACAGTCTTACTACAAACTCAATGTCACCAAAACGCAAGCAATGTGCCTTAACATCCCAAAACCCACAGAAGACGCACTTAAAGCAAACCACCACTTCGACTGGAGAGAAGATTTCCTAGTGTACCTAGGCATCAAAATAACGCGCAAAGAAAAAGAACTCTTCCCGGCAAACTACTTAAAACTATTAAAAGACATTGACAACCAATTAAAAACATGGAGAAGCCTGTTCCTGTCCTGGGTAGGGAGAATAGCAGCGCTGAAAATGACGATTCTACCTAAAATACTCTACCTTTTAAGATCTCTGCAAATCCCAATCCCACAAAGCTACGTAACAAAACTACAAGCGACACTACTACGCTTCAGTTGGGGAGGCAAACACCCTCGACTCCCCAAATCGCTTCTAATGAGAAACGTGCAATCCGGAGGACTGGGCCTACCCAACATTAAAGAGTACTACCGATCCTCCATCCTCACAAACGTCATTTACGCCCACTCGACCAGCTATACCCCTCAATGGGTAACAATAGAGAGCAACCACTGCGGAAATCAAGACCTCCCGACACTGCTCTGGATGCCTCAACATCTACGGCACATACCTACGACTACCCTAGACACCTCCAGACACTTGCTCAAGATCTGGGATGCCTGCAGGGAGAATTTGTGCTCAGCACACCCGTGGACCCTGGCAACCCCGATCCAAATCCTGCACCAGTGCAACGGAACATTCCCATACCAAAAATGGAGTAGCGCAGGTATCACTCATATCTACCATCTATACACGAAAGACAGGCTGAAAACATTCCCAGACCTACAAAAAGAATTCCTACTACCTTCCAGCTTCACGTTCGCATATCTCCAAATCAAAGCGCACCTACGCAACAACAAGATCACAAACATCCAAAACTCCCTGCAAACCTCTATTACGAAATTCGAAGCACAATGCTTGACGCGGATTCCCCCCAAAAAAGCAGTCTCCCTTTGCTACAACAACCTCGCTAACAGAGATATACACACCACATGGAAGTTCATGCAAGATTGGCAGAATGACCTCCAAATCATCATCACACCAGCCGAATGGGATAAGATTTTCACCTCCCATACAGGACTGACATCAAGCGCAGCACACCTCGAAGCATCCAGGAAACTCCTATACAGATGGTATATGGTCCCAACCCGACTCCACACCATATTCCCAAACTCCTCAGACCAATGCTGGCGCTGCCACGCTGCGAGAGGCACCATGCTGCACATGTGGTGGACGTGCAAGCAGGTGAATCAACTGTGGAAAGAAACAGCCAAACTAATCAAACGAGTCACGAAACACCAACTACCCCTCGACCCCAAAACGATCCTACTACGCTCGTTACAGGGAAACATCCCGAAGCCGATCCGAAAAATTATATACCTCATCCTAAGTACAGTATCCATACTAATAGCCAGAAACTGGAAAACAACTACGCTGCCCTCCCTCCAAGACATAGAAAAAGTAATGACCTCAACAGTAGAACATGAACTAATAATGTGGAATCAGTCGAAAATTGGGAAACTCAGCCCCCACACTGCCACAATGTGGGAGGACTACCTACGACGAACAGACACAAGACTGACCTGAGCCCCAACACCCATGAAAATGACAAAATCTCGCGAACCAGGCTTACTCTCAGCCGGAGAACACAACCACCCAGCACCCAAACACCCAAGAAGGCACCACACAAAGCTTCAAACATATTGTTGTTACAGTCACTACACTACACAGGATGGCCCCCGCTAGGTACTCCAACCAACATCCCCTGCCCTACTCCACCCACCCAATCTCCCCCCCCTTCCTGGCCCCCCCACTACCTACCCCAAGCAATCACACTTAAGAAAACAACCCTCAACCCCTAACGCTTGCGAAAGCCTCTGCAACCTATAGGCAAAGCCGGGGAAACGCAGACAACTCCAACTTACCCACTATCGCGCACGCGATCAACACTCGCATTGCGGAGCACGCCTACCATAATGTATACCCCACGAAAGACCACAGGGTTGATATTGGCATAGATACACGACGACATTGTCATAGATACATGACGACACTGTATAAGTTGAGCAATCAGCAACACCCCCTCGACCTGCTGACATACCCCCCGCTTACACATGAAGCTACCAAAATGTGATTGTGTCATCCCCATGATATGTTAACGCTCCCTCTTCTTTTCTGTACCCCATACCTTTTCTTGAAGATAATAAAAATTTCAAATTGAAAAAAAAAAAAAAAAAAATTTCCCCCATCGCTGACGTCTGAGGAGGCGGACAGTGATTAAGTACTGAGGGACTTCTGAGCTGCAGTCCGTTAAGAGTTTAACCCTGTAAGGACACATGACGTGTGACATGTCATGATTCCCTTTTATTCCAGAAGTTTTGGTCCTTAAAGGACCACTATAGTACCCTGAGGGTGCCCCCACCCTCAGGGTCCCCCTCCTGCCCGGCTCTGGGGAGAGGAAAGGGGTTAAACTTAACTTTTTCCAGCGCCGGGCGGGGAGCTCTCCTCCTCCAATCCTCCTCCAATCCTCCTCCTCTCCTCACATTCGGCTGAATGCGCACGTGCGGCTGGAGCTGTGCGCGCATTCAGCCAGTCTCATAGGAAAGCATTTAAAATGCTTTCCTACGGACGCTTGCGTGCTCTCACTGTGATTTTCACCATGAGAATCACGCAAGCGCCTCTAGCGGCTGTCAATGAGACAGCCACTAGAGGGATTGGAGGAAGGATTAACCCATATACAAACATAGCAGTTTCTCTGAAACTGCTATGTTTATTAAAAAATGGGTTAACCCTAGCTGGACCTGGCACCCAGACCACTTCATTAAGCTGAAGTGGTCTGGGTGCCTAGAGTGGTCCTTTAAGGGGTTAAAGGGTTATTCTACCCATTATTTGCCGGCGGGGTTGGCACTGGGGCAGAGGGACATTATGTTAGGGATACAGTTTTATATTCCTAACACTAGTGTTCCTTTATATGCCCTATTTATGTTTGATACAAATCCATGGATAGAAGGCTACATAGTGATGACGGTATAGGAAGTCTTGCAGCGTTAATAACTAAAGCGAAATTTGATGACAATAAAAACAGGGTCATTCAATAAAGTGAGAATTCAAGGTAAAAGTAGCCAAGTTGGAAACATTCTCTAACATTCCGATGTGCTTCCAGTTCAGCTAATGTGGCCTTAAACTCAAAATTCACTTTGAATTCTCACGTTAGAGAATAACCCTGAAAGTGAACTTCAGATTTAAGGCCTAAATATGAAGTGGAGTTGTCTTGGAGACTGTCTCTGCTTTGACTATTTTGGCCTAAATTTTTTAATTTCACTTTGCATTCCCAGCAATTCTCAATTTAGCGAACAACCCTGTATATAATGTTAAAATTACGTACTTTTTAAATTGAGGGTAAAAAACATTAGCTTGTCATTACATTATGGGTGCCATGTGTTCAGTCTGCCCCTGGTGCTACTGCTGTGCAACCTATATAAACCATATAAGAGAATCTCTGAAAATAAGCATAACACCACCAAGGGCAAACAAGCTATTGTGAAAGTGTTCACCATTATTGATACTAATTTATCAGCTGCTTCAGAAGTTTATTAAATCGTATAGGATTAAACTTTGTGATCATTTAATCTGAGAGAAAGCCTTGGTAATCATTCCCAATATGTAAAAAATATACAGTTACACCAGGTCAAACACAAACCATGGCCTATTATTTATTTGAGAGAAATGTTAATTTTAGGCAAAAATAAGCCTCCTAGACAAAGTAGCTTTGAATATTCATCCTTATATTTGCAATGCCGTGGTGAATTTTGCACAATTCCTGGTTGAGTTTGTAACGTTTTTGCCAGCTCAATTTGATGATGGTGGTGGTACCCATAAACTGTTGGAAGATAGCATCCCATGTGCTGCAGAACTGTAACATCTTGGATACTTGGGAAGCTTTAAAGGGACACTATAGTTACCAAAACAACTTTAGCTTAATGAAGCAGTTTTGCTGTATAGATCATGCCCCTGCAGTCTCACTGCTCAATTCTCTGCCATTTAGAAGTTAAATCACTTTGTTTATGCAGACCTTGTCACATCTCCCTGCATGTGACTTGCACAACTTTCCTAAACACTTCCTGTGAAGAGTCATCTAATGTTTATCCTTCCTTTATTGCAAGTTCTGTTTAAACCCTTCCCGACCAAGGACATGCAGGGTACTTCTGACAAAAAACGGTCCTCAAGGACCACGGAGGTACCCTGCACGTCCTATGGGAATTAAATCTCTGGAAGCGATCATTGCGTGTATATCTAAATTATAAAAAATATTTAAAAATTAATTAACTCCTAAATGGTAGTGGATTGAGCAGTGAAACCTGAGAGGCATGATCTGTAAACTAAAACTGCTTCATTAAGCTAAAGTTGATTAGGTGACTATAGTGTTCCTTTAAGCTACCGTTTTTGTCATCCTTGTTTCATGTAACTCAGAATGAGAGTTCTAAGGCTGTTTCTGTCATTCATCTGCCTCAGATTAATTTTTTAAATAAACAGTTGCTGGTTGGCTGAGATATTACAATCCCTGTTTTGCAATGTAATCCAGGCTGCTGTAGTGGGGTAACTATTTTATTTGTTGTCTCTGTGAGTCCAATATAAGTGCTTACATGTGCAGCAGCCCCTGTGGAAAGACTCCAGGCTACATGTCCAGACCACTCCTTTTTAATGTAATAGTAAATACTGGCTTTGATTTGATTGTTTTTAAACTGTTGCGACATTAGTGACCACGTGTGGTGATGATGATGATAAGCGGGATTCAATAAACACCAGAAACAAATTAGATTTTTAAGTCATATGATCACAAAAAGGCAAGAAAGCCTTATTTTATACTATGGGAACTTGTCGTAAACAATATTTAGGCAGATGAGGCTATGTCTGAGCTGCCCGAGGACAGTACAGCTCACAGAAAGCAATCCTGTGTTAGATTGTATTGTCATAAGACTAATTTCTAAATGAAAGCATCAGCTAAAATCTGTACACACTTTGCAGTTTAGTCCGTTTAACTTAAAGGGATACTATAGTCATCAGAACAACTACAGCTTAATGTAGTTATTTTGGTGTCTAAGCTTTTCCCTGCAGGCATTTTCATGTAAACACTGCTTTTTTAGTCAAAAGGTAGTGTTTGCATTACTGCCTATGGACACCTCTAGTGGCAGTCACTCAGGCAGACACAGCGTGCATCACTGACATTCAGCTTCTCTCACTGTTTTGCCACGCTTGCACAATAGCCTCCCAATGCTTTCATATGGGAAAGCATTGGATTAAATTAATTTGTCAATTTTATTACCTTTTTAAACAAAACAAGCCGTTTTGGTGTATAGATCATCCCCATGCAGTCTCACTGCTAAATTCTCTGCCCTTTAGGTTAAATGACTTTGTTTATGCAGCCCTAGTCACACATCCCTTCTGTTCATGTGACCTACACAGCCTTTCTAAACACTTCCTTAAAGAGTCATCTAAGGTTTTAAACTTCCTTGCGCTATTGTACTTTCTGTTTATGGTAGAGAATTGAGCAGTGAGACTATAGGGGCATGATCTATACGCCAAAACTGCTTCATTAAGCTGAAGTTACTTTAATGCCTATAGTGTCCCTTTAACAAAAAAAAAAGATTTTCAGGTTGCAACAGAAAGCACATCTAAAGGGACACTACAGGTACCAAAAACAACTTTTAGTTTAATGCAGCAGCTTTGGTGTGTATATATCATGCCCCTGCAGTCTCAGTTCTCTGCCATTAATAAGTTAAATCACTTTTGTTTCTCTTTATGCCACCCTAACCACACTTTCTCTGGCTGTGACTTATACAACCTCCATCAAAAATTGGTTTCCTTTTCAATCAGATGCTAATTGGTAGTCAATATGTGAAAGTTGTCACTTTTCTCTTGTGGCTAGATTGTTTGATATAGAATTTTAATTAAGTTATTTTCTTATCTATCTAGTCACGATAAAGGGCAGGACACGGAAGACGTTATTGAGTTACATGAGGGTAAGTGTCATGTTTTCTTTTTTGTTGTCCACAGTTACTTTATGGTTTGCTTCATTTCCCATTTTCTGTGGTTTCACAGGGTTTCGCAATGAACGATTTGTTTGTTTTCTTTTCTTTTTTTCTTTCTTTTTTTCCCTCTTTCTTGAAAGACAAGGTGGAAGCAGCTCCAAATGGGAAACTATGGAGTAAAATGTTATTCCGTATGTTTTTTAATTATTGTAAAGATAATACACAAAAAATGGTTTCAGAAAAAAAGCATTCTTCACATTTAGTTTTCCTCGTTGCACGCTTAGTGGGTTTGCCAGGAACATTATAAGTTTTTTTTAATTTTTTTTTTTTATAGGAGCAAAGTAATTTAATATCCGGAGACATAATCTATACACCTAGCGGTGGCTGCTCCAATAAAGAAAGAAGAGCTTTGTAGTCTGCAGTGCATTCCCTGTTTGTGATATGTTTTATATTGTGTATGATTATTGATTGCTACTTACCTTTTGACTCTTGCAGGAGAGGAGACAGCTCCAGACGAGCATACAGCGGTGGCCATAGCCACTGTTCAACAAGCTGCTTTTGCAGACCACAATATCCAATACCAGTTCCGCACAGAGAATAATGGAGGACAGGTATAAGCTGTTGTGAGTGTGTCAGGACAAGCTCTATAAACAATGCTGTATTTTTTTTTCCCATGCAGAATTTTGTACTAAAGATACATCAAATTCTGTAATTACATTTTCTTGGTAAATAAAGGTTGCATTGTATAGATATATTTCTATTCTTAACACCTTGACGACCGATGACGGTTCAGGACCGTCATCGGAAAAATCCGCTTGGGGACCAATGACGGTCCTGAACCGTCATAACGGTCTGGGGCTACTTACCTGATCGCCATCGGTCCCCCTGCGGCAATCAGCGCTCCTCACGGTCCAGGGGGACTGCCTGTCTGCCCGGGCAGTCTCTCCTCGGCAGATCTGGACCCCGCGGCCACGTGATTACCTGTGCCTGTGTATCTGCCTGCAGGGGGACTGTCTGTGCTGACTGGCAGTCTCCCTGCAAGTGAAAAATCTAAAATAAAGTTAAAAAATAAAGCAATCAGTGTAAAAAATCAGTGTAAAAAAAGTGTGTTTGTGTATATATATATATATATATATGTGTGTGTGTGTATATGTGATATATGTGTGTGTGTGTATATGTGATATATGTGTGTGTGTGTATATGTGATATATGTGTGTGTGTGTGTGTGTGTGTATATGTGATATATGTGTGTGTGTGTGTGTATATGTGATGTGTGTGTGTGTGTATATGTGATATGTGTGTGTGTGTATATGTGATATATATATATATATATATATACATGTATTATATCTATATATAATATATATGTCATACTAAGTGTATTTTTATATATACGTATATTAATATAAAAATACACTTTTAATTTAAATTACACACGTGTGTATATATACAATATATATATTGTGTATATATATATATATATTTATTATAAATTATAAATGTTAATAAAAATAAATAACAAAGTAAAAATTATTTTTAATAATTAAATTTTTTTTATATATATATATATCAAAAAACACTTAGAATTTAATGATATATATCTATGTATAAATAAAAATATGAAATATACATATGTCCATATACATAATTACATAAATAATTTCATAAATATACACGTAGACGTCAAATATGTAAATGTGTATATATATTAAAATTCTATGTGCGTATTTATGTAATATTTTTACCTAATTAAGTAATTTTAATGATTGCAATTTGAGGGACCTGCCAACCAAGGCCGAAAGTCCAGAGAATTTAATTTGCTAGCACTGCGTTTAACCCTGTAACTTTCTATGACTCCCTAAAACCTGTACATGGGGGGGAACTGTTTTACTCGGGAGACTTCGCTGAACACAAATATTATGTTTCAAAACAGTAAAACATATCACAGTGATGATATTGTCAGTGAAAGTGAATTTTTTTTTTTCATTTTTCACACACAAACGGCACTTTCACTGATGATATTATTGGTGTGATACATTTTACTGTTCTGATACACTAATATTTGTGTTCAGCGAAGTCTCCTGAGTATAACAGTACCCCACGTGTAGAGGTTTTATAGTATTTGGGAAAGTTACAGGGTCAAATATAAGGCTTGATTTTACTTTTTTTTTTTGATTGGTTAGGTTGCCTTTGAGAGCGTATGGTAGCCCAGGAATGAGAATTAGCCCCATGATGGCATACCATTTGCAAAAGAAGACAACCCAAGGTATTGCAAATGGGGTATGTTCAGCCTTTTTTAGTAGCCACTTAGTCACAAACACTGGCCTAAGTTAGCGTTTTTTGCATTTTTAACACCCAAACAAATATAAATGCTAACTTTGGCCAGTGTTTATGACTAGGTGGCTACTAAAAAAAGACTGGACATACCCCATTTTGAATACCCTGGGTTGTCTACTTAAAAAAAAATATGTACATGTGAGGTGTGATTTGGGGATTTATGATGGATAACGGTGTTGCAGTGTCACTATTGATAAATTTAAAAAATATATATATATATTGAAACAGCAGTTTCCTACTTGTATTTATAGGCATATAACTTGCAATAAAGCATGTAAACACTGGTTGTTTTTACACTCGGGACAACATTTTGAATCTATTTAGCAGTTTTTTTCATTAGCTTTTGTAGATAAGTAAAAGATTTTTCAAGTAAAAGTCCAAAAACATGTTTTTTTTTTCAATTTTTCACCATATTTTATTTTTTTTAAATAAAATATATGATATGATACAAATAATGGTATGTAAAGAAAGCCCTTCTTGTCCTGAAAAAAACCCAATATATAACTTGTATGGGAACCTTAAATGAGAGAGAGGAAAATTACAGCTAAACACAAACACCACAAAAGTGTCAAAACTGCTCTGGTCCTTAATGTACAACATCGCAAAAACAGGCCGGTCCTTAAGGGGTTAAAGAAGCGTTTATTTCATTGCTGGGGCACTTTTGAATTGATTATATGGATATCACTGTTTGAATAATACATGTTGAAGCCTATATAGTGCCAACCTTATTACTTGAAATTGTATGGGTTATATTTTAGTCATGAATTTTATTTCATTATTTAGCCAACAACTTTATTTTGATGGAGTATCATTTAGAAAAGGAATTCAGATCTTTAATCACATTAGTAACTTGGTCTGATAAAATAGTGAGATAAAATGATGTGATTATGACATTTCCTAACTCTTTGAAAGACCTGGGCCCTCTCCTCCTCTTCTTCTTTTTATTTTTTTTAGTACCATAATAAGGAACCTTTCGTGGTCAATGGGGGGTGCCGTATCCCATAAACGCCTGTCAAGTGGCCACGGTTTAACTTATCACATAGCATGAGGGGAATTGCTCAATAAGCTGATGACAACAGTGCTGATACATTTAAAAAAGTCCAGTTCAAGATTTGTATACTAGATTGTAGGCAGCAAGCTGTCAGCTATGCATGTGAGGTGTCACCGCTCGCCCCTCCCTGGAAAAGGAGGTACTAGTTGTACCGATCTCACAGAGCTGAGGCGGAAGTAAAGCAAAGTCTCCTTTTTATTTGTGAGAGCTTGGGGGTAGGTTTGTAGTTCTAATGATTTATGTTAATAGCTGCAGTCACTCTCAGTAGGGTTTACTCTGCGTGAAAGCTGTTTCACTGATGCAAAGTTGTTACTGTGTTTAACTTGTAAGAATTTAGAATTTTTCTTTCTTTAACCTAATATTTGCGTGTAATGTATGTAATTTTGAGTAAGTTTCTGACCATTCATCATTTTGTTTCTCAATGCTCTGTTCTCTTTTTAGCTTTAGGTAAACATGGTGTGACTGTGGTTACTTGATAGTAAAGGCTTGCCTGTGTTTCATTCAACATGCAGATCTTTCATTAACTTTCTCCTCCCCGTCCTGCAGGTGACATATAGAGTTGTCCAGGTGACGGACAGTCAGCTGGATGGACAGGGGGATGCAGCAGGAGCAGTCAGCGTTGTTTCCACAGCTGCCTTTACTGGTGCTCAGCAAGCCGTGGCACAGGTGACACATGCATTAAGTGTTTTGGGGTTGTGCAGTTGTGAAAAGCTTGACTAAGACTGAAAAGGACACTGAGAAACAACCACTCCAGCTCATTCCTAAATAGTTCAATATAAAACAGTGGGCAGTGCCCAGATACTCTAGACATCATAACCAACATTGGGAGCTGGTCCAGAGAGTTTAGATACCCTCAGGCATGCTTATGTCACTCTGAGGGTCCTTTAATAATACCTTTTTCAAAATGGCAAAAAAATAATCTATGTTTTATTTCCCAGTATTCTTAAAACTAGAAAAAGTGCAAACATGTTGTGGGCCTTATATGCCCTTACCTTTTGGCATTTTGCTGGCTGCACAATGTGTAAGATAGTTGCTAAAACTATGTGACAATACTTTTCCCTTTGATTTCAAAAGAAGTATGCTTGTAGCACCAAGACACTAACTGAAGCTGCCAAACGATCTGAGCTGTTAGAGAAACTTTAAGAAAGACAGCCTTCATGTATATCTTTCTTCTTCTTTTTTTTATGTTTTCCCAAAAATGTATATAAATCTATTAATGTAAAATCAACTGGGGTATGTCTTTTTAAACTGACATGCCAAGCTCTTAAACAACCATTGCTGTTTGCTTTGCCTGGCTTATAGTGCAAGGAAGTCCCACACTCCCTGTGCAACCAGTTGCAACCAGTTGCTTGCAACTACAGTGACTTTAACAAATTGCTTCAGCTGTTAGCCCACCTCTCTGTGACAGACATCACAGGAGGAAGCTATACTTCCTTTGCCTGTCCGAATACTTGTATGGCATGCACTCAGATGCTCTAAAATAACCTTCCCTACTGACTACTACTCAGACGTTCTACGCCTGTGCAGCAAACAAGCATCTACAATAAGTTTTTTATTTTTTTTTCTAAAAATAAATGGAGCTGCCAATAAGCTGACCACAGCTGCTATTAGCTTTGTCATCAGTTCCATTTACCTTCTTTGATGACATGGTTGCCAAGTCTTGAACTAATTCTCCCAAAACTTGCTCACATTTGAAGTTCATGCTTTTTTTGTTTGAAACGCCTCCACCCTGCAACGTCCCTGTGTGACTGTTGTGATATGTGTAAAATTGTCATCTGACATCCTGTGGTAGTGTTCCCAGCCCTCTCATGTCCTTTGTGGAAGTAGCCAATTGACAAGTTCCTATTTTGGCCTAGCTTGTGGTTTTTAGATTTCGCTAATGACTTTAAATGTAACCTATGTGGTTATTCTATGGTTAAGGGGAAAGTTTTGATGATTTGGGATGTACATGAATTATGTATTAGGAGTGTATTCTTTTGAATTTTTACTCTATTGAAACACATCTTTCTGTAATGTTTTGCAGCACATACTATTTTTCATTTTAACCCTTAAAGTGCCTGAGAATTGAGCACCACATCACTGTATAAACTTGTGCTAAAACATTGATAATGACTTGTCTAAATGTTTACTGTGCACCCGCTGTAAGCCACTAACATCTTGAAATCACAACTTGGCAGGCAGTCATCCAGAATCCTTTCAGTAATGGCGGAAGTCCTTCAACAGATGCAGTCAGTGGAGAGGCACGATTTGCCTACTTCCCAGCTACTACCGTGGGCGACACAACAGCCGTGTCTGTACAGACAACTGATCCTGCACTGGCACAGGCAGGAGGTGAGTTTAGTTTCTGACTACTAGTTCGCAGACTAAATATTGACTGGTTTTCCACCAAGTTTTGAAGCTAACCTGGTATAATAACCAGGCCCACTTGGTATGATGGACTTAATCTTTTTATCCACGGAAAATATGTACAAAGCTATCTCCCCCTGCTGATGTATACAAGTAGTAGTGAACACTACTTATAAAAGTATGTAAGTTTATAAATTAAACTTTGTCATCGTATAAGGTAGTATACATGATAAAGTTTTTATAATTTGTGCATAATAAGACTGAAATTCCATGAGATTTGACAGCAGAACTTCAAGAGCTTTAATCACGTGCAATGATAAAGTATTCTGAGGCCCCAGTACAAAGCGTAAACACAGTTTAGTAAAATCACTGTATTGTGCTGGTAAAGTCACTTGTAAATGTGTATACAGTATATAAAAGTGACGCCATAAATGTAAAACCTCTCCTGGCACTCAGATTTCTTGATGGGTGCTCTTCCTTACTCACTGAAAAAGTATTGAAGGTGTCATGGAACACTCTCTGAAGCCTCCTTACCTATACGGGTTAAACCATTGACAAACAATTTAACCTCTATGGGTAAGGAAGTGGCAGGGACCTCCTGCCACTATAACAAATGCATATCAGTGAAGTTATGGTGCCCAGAGTGTTCCTTTATATGTATTCATTTCTCATTTCTAATGCTGCAATATTTGTTTAAGGCATGAAAGTGGGCATTCCATATTCAAATATTATGTGGGTGACGTGCTTCCTTTGGTTATTGATAAAGCACAGTCTATGCACTGCTTCAGGAATATTTGCAGTATGTCCATTAGCTTATACACATTGTATCTTGGTTTGTTCTATGGGAGATATATTAAGGTCTCTGACCATGGCACCTGCAGTATTTGTAGTTAATAGAAATATTCAATGCATTGCAATAAAAAGAAGCTGGGTCTGTACAATTAATAGTTGTGTTACGTAATGAATAGCTTAAATTTCAAACTGTAATGTTTTACATTAAGTGCCATATTGTCACATGTATGACAAATCAAATTATTAATATTTTACATGGTACAGCTCCCATAATCAATACACACTTCAGGTTTATTATGATGCAAATTATTCATTCTATCACTAGGTCAATTTTATGTTATGATGACCCCTCAAGATGTACTTCCAGCTGGATCACAGCGGTCTATTGCACCCCGGACGCACCCATACTCTCCGTACGTATCAACTAGAGGCACTCTTTGTACTGTCTTAATAAATTACAGCGGTGTTCCCAGACCTTTAGCAAAATAGTTATTCATAAAAGATGTTGCTGACCTATTCAAATTAAAGCACTTGTTCTGTAGTGATCTTATTTTCACATTCTGATAAAACACAGTGCTGTAGTCTGGCTGTGCTGCCATTAATGTTGTATCCAGTGCTCTGCCTTGTGTTTGTAGCCTGCACTGGTACTACACAGGTGTACGTTTCCCTGTGCTACAATTCCAGTGTAGCACATAGCTTAGTCTCTTTTTCGGTTTCTGCCTTGCTGAGCATTGTTATTGTAATACATGTTCATTTTCATTGGTCCAACCACTGGTTTTAAATCCATGCATTTTTATTTTCCCCATGGAATGATTTGATCCTTCCAGCATGATTAATCAGAAGTTAAGAAAGCACAGATTAGACTTGTATCAATACAGAGCTCGATACACATATGCACCTTATTCTGTGCTTATTCATGCTGAGGATTGTATGAAATCTTGGCAACATTTTTGTCAAGAGTGGGGGTGTTTGTATGGATGTAATTGTATTTGTTAGAAGATCAGTGTGTGAATACAGGAGTGTGTTTGTGCAAAACATCATTGTATTTATATGGAGATATTTGTTGACATCTTGCTTTCTGTCCATCCTGTCCTCATGCCTATTCGTAAGAACAATCTCTTTATTACAAGTGAACTTTCCCTTTTTTTTAGTTTTATATCATGATTATGTCCTAGTATTTTGACAATCTAGAAGTCCAGCTCCTGACAAGGTTTTGTGAAATAGTGCCATCTAGTGGCTATTTAATTGTTTCATTTAAAGAGTAACCCTCTCGTCAGAACAGTTTTCATATTATTTTTACTTAAAGGGTTACTTCAAGTACCATAACCACTTCAGTGTTTTTAAGTGGTTTAGCTTTCTGTTGGAAACTGCACATACAGAGATAAAGCCCAGTGCTTCCAGAGGTGTAACTCCACCTCAAGCAGTATCATTAGGACTGGTTAATGTGAAGACTGTACCCCTGTTGTTCTGGCCATCTCCCAGTAAGTGGGAGAACTTGAACTCCATCTGGGATCCAAATTTATTTCTTAAGTTTCCTTTATCTTTGTGTGGGAGGGTCAATGCCTGTAAGAGCTACTCTAACCAAATACAGTATTTTATTGAAACCCTGTATGTAACCAAATATGTGTTTTGAGAGCTGTGAATGTATATGTAGTAATTCACACCTCTCTATCCTGGAACTGAATGAGCTTAGCCCCTTGTCAGTCTGGAAGTGAGCTTAAAGATCCATACAGGGTACAGGAGAAACAAAACCAATAGGGCAGATTGATCAGCGTCATGGACAGTTTCGCTCCTTTATTTTTTTTAAAACAATTTGGGCAATTTTTATTTAATCTATCAGATTATATATTTTTTTCCTTTATGCCATTTTTCCAGCAACTCAGTATTTCTGTGACTTTGTTTTTCCCCACTGGAAACATTCGTTTTACTTCTTTCTCTTTTTTTTTCACTACATTTTGTGACCCTTTTTTTAAAAAAATGGATAAATCTGTGGAAACTTTGTGAAAATTAGGCCGAAAAAGGCTTTTGCGTTTTAGAAAATTTTTATACATTTGACCAGATTACATCCAAAAAAGAAAAATGGACACTTTTCATAACCGCTTGATAAATCTCCAACAATGTGTCCATTTCTCCACGTCATTAGTGATATGTACTATCATAAGGATCAAATAGTTAACTCAAGTTATTACTGATTTTCAGTGGTTTCATTTCCAGAGAAGTGACGGTTCCCAAGTAATTTTTTTATATATATTTGTGTTTTCTCTAACTCACTAGAGTCTTATCTGACTGGTTTCAAGCCTCTGTTGGTTTTATGGCAGTTTAAGTTAAAGTCCGAGCACAATATATTTGCATTACTTTATTCATCAGATCTTGAGCTTTTGTTTCTACAGATTAAATGAAAATGATCCTTAGTCATATAAGCAGCAACCTGCCACACAAAAAAAATGTGTGGATAATATCTATTATAACATGTATATTTGTTGTCCTTTGCAATTTTTGTAGTAAAATGGACGGAAACCGGACTCCTCGAGATGAAAGGCGCAGAGCACAGCACAATGAAGGTAAGTTGAAGGCAGATGTCGCTCCTATATTTAAAAAGGGTTCAAAATCCGTGCCTGGAAATTATAGACTTTTGAGCCTAACTTCTGTGACTGGGAAAGTATTTCAAGGGCTAGTAAGGGGATAATATTCAGGAATTCATTGGGAAGAACTGTATTAACAATAATCAGGATGGTTTTATGAAACATAGGTCATGTCAAACTAATCTAATTGGATTTTGCAAAGGCATTTGATACGATTCCTCACAATAGGATAGTGTTCATACTAAAAGAAATTGGTCTAGTTGAAAATTCTTGTATTTGGGTGAAAACATTGGTTTAAGAATAGAGTACAACGATTTGTCATTAATGGTACATTTTCAAGCTGGAAAAAAAAGTAGTAAGTGGTGTCCCTCATGGTTCTGTTTTGGGACCGCTTCTATTTAACATATTTATAAATGATCTCGAAATAGGTATTGGAAGCCGTGTTTTAGTGTTTGCAGATGACACAAAACTTTGTAAAGTAATAAATTGTGAGCAGGATATTGCCTTGCTCCAGATGGATTTAGATAGATTCGGGAACTTGGCACTAAAATGGCAGATTAAATTTAATGTAGAGAAATACAAAGTTATGCACTTCAGGGTAAAGAATGCACAAGCAACTTACACCCTAACTGGTAGTGAATTGGGGATTACAACACACGAGAAGGATTTGGGAATTGTTATCGACAACAAATTAGGCAGCAATATGCAATGTCAATCTGCCGTTGCTAAATCCAGTAAGGTTTTGTCATGTATAAATAGGGGCATAAATTCTCAGGGTGAAAATATAATTTTGCCACTTTATAAATCGTTGGTAAGACCACACCTTGAATATTCTGTGCAATTTTGGGCACGTGTTCTAAAGAAAGATATCATGGCACTAGAAAGAGTGCAGAGACGAGTTACAAAATTCATAAAAGGAATGGAGCATTTTAGTTATGGAGAGAGGTTAAAAAAATGTAAATCTCTTTAGTTTGGGAAAAAAACACGCCTCAGAGGGGATATGATAGTATAATAAAAATATATTTGTGGGCAGTACAAAACATTATTTGGAAATCTATTTATAAACAGGGCTATACATAGGACACATTCATTCTCTATGAGAACATAATTCTCATTTAGTTTCTCTCCTAAACTTCGGGGGGATTTTTTTATTTTTTTTGAACCTTTTTAAAAATATTGAACACACATTTATTTTTGCAGTGGAGCGGCGACGGAGAGATAAGATTAACAACTGGATCGTCCAACTGTCCAAAATCATTCCAGACTGCAATACAGATACTAGTAAAACTTCATCAGTAAGCAGAATCTGTCTCTTTCCCATTCTTTCACCAACACCAACAGGAATATAAAGAAAAGTCTGGGCCAAAGCTCTAAAAGTGTAACAATTAGCAGAAACATTCAGTTAGTTTGCACGGCAGTTTCATTATTTTTCAGCGTTGCCTAAGTCTGTAGACTCCATATTTGTAGTCCTTATTGCTGTGCAGATAAAAAAGGCAACCAACATCAGGAAAGAAATAAAAATGGATATAACAGACTAGTCCTATATTTACAAGCAATCTGCCATGCATGATAAATTAAAATGTAATCGAGTAGTATATGGTAAAAATGTTGACGGAACACTCTATGCTCCATAACCACGACACTATTTGGTAAGAGGAGTGCCTTGACACCCTTCTGGGTTAAATAGTCAAGTCGTTTGTGAATTATTTGACAGCTAACCTGGGCTCTGCTGAGCACTTATTAGTCTGCAAAACAGGCTGGAGAGCGGTCAGCTGGCCGTTACGGCTTCGCTAAATGGAGCTAACTGAAGGTCCTAGTTGGAGCTGCTAGTTTTAGAAAAGGCTACTCCAGGTAAGCTGTCAGACCATGTAGTGGTTATGGTCCTTGGAGTGTTCCTTTAATGACAGTGAATAGGCACAGAATATAGTAACACTCTCTAGACTGTAATATCGTTTGAGCAGGGCCCTCATCTACCTTTTGTTCCTGTGCCACTGTGTAATTGTCTCATTTATTGTGAATTCCACCCCACCCCCCGCCCCCTTCATAAAGCGTTGTGGAATTAGTTGGCACTATATAAATACCAATAATAATAATCATTGTAATTGATGTTAACATTTTTAAGTGTCCCTGCACATCTAAGTAAGACGAACTTACATTTGATCTCTTGGTCTTCTCTAATATTCTATGAAATGTATATGTTAAACTTTATGGTTATATTTTATTTTTCGGATACTTAGATGCAGTGAGTATAGAGGTAAAAACTACAAATCGGCCACTACAGCAGAATGTGAACATCCATAGTCTTGCAGTGGCCGTTTAGGTCCTCGACCCCCCCACCTAATTTAACTCACCATTTCTGCTGTGCCGGTCTCAAGGGGAAGAGCCGCTTACCGGCAAAACGCGCATCGGGGCTCCTACTCCTAAGTCTCATCCTGCAGCTGACTTACTATCAGACCTTAATGCATTATCACGCCACTTGACTTGCCTACCTGACCCTTTACTTAGGTCTTAAGTCCGGTCCCATCAATGAACCTCCAGATTGGTCATTTATTTCGTAGATACTCTGATTCACCATTTAGATTACCTGCCTCTGGAGTTTTCTTTTAGATTATTAGCTAGTGCAGCAGTTTCCAGTATTTACATTAGGTGCCCTCAAAGGCACAGACTAGCAATCAAACAATAGGTGCCCTTGAAGGCACAGTAATTGCCACTGCACGCACTAGCTAGTATTTGCTGTTTACCCCCTCTGTGTTACCAGGTATATCGGCTTGCTTCAGTGGCCTCAGTAATCACTTCATCTAGGGTCTCTTGTTTTTTTTACCCTGATTTCCTATCTCAGCCACTTGGAAGTGCCCTTCGTTAGCCTGATTCACACTGTAAGGGACTTCCCTATTTAGACAGCTGACCGTTATGAACTCGATTCTCTGCAGCTTGCAGTCAAGTATCGCTTGGATGATACTTTGTCTTAACTATTACCATAACGATAGGGAAATCTCCACACCCTATATTCTATCCAGGCTAGCCTTAACTTGACACATTCAAGGAAACATACGTTGAAGATTGTTAACCGTTTGCCAAAATAATCACTTAAGTTAGTATCAGCTTATCCTTTGTATATATTGTGTACATACTTTTTTCTTTACCCTTTTCACCTGTTTTGGTTCATTCTCCATCTACTGATTTAGACTTGGCAATTAGCCAAGCCTGTTTTAATAATATAATAAAAGTTCATTTTTGTTTTACTTTCAGCCACTGAACAAAGTACCTCCCTTCTGTTCTTTACTAATTATTTAGGGCTACCCCCTCCATTCTCTGTCTTGTTCTCTATTACTGCATTTATATTTGCTTGATTCCACTATCCCTAGTTGATACAGCAAGTACATTAATTGGTTATTCAAGCAATTATATAATATTAACACGCATAATTTGGTGTATGCGTATGTAACTACAGCAATATAATTAGAATGATCTATAGCCTAACCTGTTTGAACAGGAACGACCGCTATGAGAAAAAATAAATACATTTTACCACTAGGTGGAGCCCATTTATTAAAATTGCAATTACTGCTATTTCTGCACAGATACAAATACTACTTTAAGGGAACAAAAATAAATTGTATGAACAGTTTAGTAAATAAACCCTCAAAGAAAGCATGCATGTAATTTGTTTTGCCTATTTTCTCTGGGGGTACTTGACATCTTAGCTTTTTTTTTCTCCAGCACAGTCTTTCTCGACTGTGTCGTGGAATAACCCATCAAACTCAAAAGGTAGGCGACCACGTAGAAGTCTGCGACCGCCCAGGCACCTGCCTTTTGAGTTTAGCTCCACAGAACTAAATGAGCAAAACACCTTGCGGCTGTCTGACCAGGTGGAGAATCATTATAAATAGTTATATATATTATTTAGAATATTTAGTACTCCTATAATGTGCAGTGCTTTCAACTGTCCTTAAATCCTTGTCTGTATTTTAGCAAAGTAAAGGTGGCATCCTCTCCAAAGCATGTGACTACATCCGGGAACTTCGACAGACAAACCAACGCATGCAGGAAACTTACAAGGAGGCAGAGAGACTGCAGATGGATAATGAGTTGCTACGACAACAGGTCAGTAAGTTGATTATTCCCAAGTGTCCATGAATGCATTCTCATGTTGGGCATAGGGGTTATGGGATACACAAAGCAATCCAATGCATAGCAGCATGAGAACCAGTGCAGTGATCTCTGCTATGTCCTGGTCTCTGCAGGCATCATTGTAAAGGCAGCAGATTGTGAGAAAATACTGCAAATAAACAACATTCAAAACACTCTTCTGCGCCACTGTTTATTTAAAAAAAACACACTAAGCACAAAAGAACTTTAACTTCACAAAGCAGTTTTGATGTATAGATCATGTCCCCACACCTTTCCTGGTTGTGACTCACACAGCTTAATTAAAAAAAAATAAAAGTATAATTTTCAATCCGATCTTAAAGCACAGTGTGTTCATTATAATGTCGCTCTCTTGCTCTGTAAATTGAACACACAGGGGGCTGTTACAGAATAGTAATAGCAGGTTATTAACAGAGAAGGAGAGAAGTCTTATACATGTACATTGTGTCAGAAAGTGTTTGAACACCAACAGTTAGTCTCTATGGTCTTCCCTGCCTCACTCCCTGCACAGAGAAGAACATAGAGACTAACTTCTTTTAACAACTATTCCAATTTCCTTTTAAAACATGATGAACTGATCATTATATTAAAATACATTTTTGAAGTGACAGTTGTCTTTTAAAGAGGTTTCCATGTCAGTGTGTTTAGTGCTTAAATGTTTCCTTAGACTCTTTGGTACTTGCGAAGTGATACTTATTGGAAGTAGGGGGACAAACACACTGACTGAGAGTCCAAAAGAGGTCAGCTAATATATCTATGTCTGTGTATTATCTTCTCTGTCCGTAACCGCAAAAATAGACATGGTTTCTAATAGCGACTTAGATTGACACCTGTTTTGTGGGTGAATAGGTCATCAATGAAGAGAATTGTCCTAAATGCTGTAGCCCAGCAACACATGCATCAGCTTCTGCTTCCTAGTCTGCAACCTTCATGTTTATCTGTGGGATTTTCCATTAGTTTCGGACTATTTACTTCATAGGTATAAGAGACTTGAGAGCCATCTGATTTACTCTGGCCATCTAGCTGTTTAGAAGTTAGAAAGCAAATGTTTAAATGTACTGGCCTTGTAGTGTGTGTTTGTCCTGTTCTTGACGTAATTGTACCTTTTATTAGATCGAAGACCAGAAGAATGAGAATACCTTACTGAGAGGACAACTGCAGCAGCATGGCATTGATGTGGTAGAGGAGACCCAGAGGCAGTAACTGTCCACCTTTGCACCATTTCTTTTTGAAGTAGGGTTTTTTGTTGTTTTTCTTTTGTGGGACGAAGAGGAGGAACAAGCCACAAGGAACCATGATATCTACACCCTTCCATCTGCCCCATGTTCTCCCAGAACCCCAACTCACTTGCCACCTCCCTTCATTTAACCCCTTCTATCTCCTTTAATTTTATAGTGTCAAAGACCTTTTGCTTATCCTTTTTGAAGTACTTTGAGGACATTAAGGCACAAATTCAGTGGTTGACAGCCACAGATCTTCCCAGCAAGAGTGGAGAACCATTCAGTTGTCCCCTTTCACCTGGAACATTAAGACGTTAAAAGTATATAGGGGCTGGTCCGTTGCCAGTGGGGCCTGTCCCATATCTCAACACAGTATATTGAATGGCTGCCAGCCGAAGGCTAGAGAATTTAATTGTTTTCCTTCTTTTTGTTTTTTTTTCCTTGTGCATATATATAATTTATATATGTAGACGTATGAACAATAACATACACTTTGGCGATATCACACAACCTTTCCTTATTCTGAAATATTTTTTTTTATTTTATTTTTTCCTTTTTAAAAATATTTTTAATCCTCCACAATTTGTGGAAGGACAGATGATAGCATACAAATAATCTGTTTACGCCAGAATTGTATTTCCGATAGGAACCGAGAGTCTATATCTGCACAGAATGATGTTTTTAGTTACAGGTTGTAATATCCTGCATCTAGTGGAGGGGTTAGAGATTGGGCATGTGAGCTAAGCTTACGTCAGCCAGCACGTCGCTCGCCAGGAGGAAATTAAACTCCCACAATTTCCAAATGAGCTTAGAAATATGGGACTGTTGGTTCATCTGCCACTGATGATTAACTGTCAGTTCTGAATTTAAATTAATTGAACTTGTTGATTGTGATTTGCTGTTGAAAAAGGAAAATGTGTTAAAATAATTGACTGTCAGGAATGCATCAAGCTCTATTTAAATGTTGCTCATAGCTCTGGCACTAAGATGTTTATGTATCTTACAGACATTAGGTAACTCAAATGATCACACCGGCACCTTTTACTTACAGCAATCAGATTCAGTCCTGTTTGTGTACTATACAAACTGTCATGTGGGCTATGTCATAGGGTCTCCAGGCACCATGGGAGGATGTCCATCCAGATTTACATTTCTATTAAACCATAACTTTCTGCATTCCTATTAACAGAGACCAAGGAGACGGCTGTGCATATAATGATAATTGTAAGTAATCCTCTGTCTCTGCATCTGTGTGCTCTGTTCTAGAATCCAGGGAGAGCTCAGACTGTGTATTTTAAATGGATCAAGAGATCATACCTATTGCATTGAATTGTTGCCCCTGATCTGGTGTCCTCCTAATTTTACTGTCATGATAAATTCCTCTTGAAGTCAGCTGGCAAAAAGGTCATTCTGTACACAATCATCTTGTGGAATTATAGCTAGTTCTACTTCTCTCCAAGGTAATGCCATCTTTGTCATATTTCTTGGAGAAATTACCATACAACAGCCTTGCATATCACAATAGCAATTGTTTTTTCACTGTCAGACTGACCTGTCCAACCCATCAATGGTTCCATGTTCCTTCATTGTATTAAGAGCACCTGAATGCCAAATAAACAGGCTCCACTCTGTTTCACAGTGTGAAGCTGTAAAATATCAATATGGAAATGGGAATAGTTTACTTTGATTTTATATCACCCTCCCACCAGTTGCACCTAGTGATGGGAACATTTAACTGCTTTGGACTGTAAGCCATCATTCAGAGTGATCTTGCCTTTCTGTTGGGCCATGGTACATCCAGTGTTTTCACTTGGAATAACTTATCAGTCGCCTGCAGAAGTCTTCTTTGCCCTAAATTCCAGTGTTTGAGCACATCATTCTTAGAATCAGAACCCCCCCTGGTATTTGATGCTCTAACATTTATTTAGGCTCTCCAACTCCAAGGAAGCCTTGGTTTGACCTGAAGGCTTTGTTGTTAAGTAAGATATTGGGAGAGGAGAAACAAGTTGTTTTGTGATAATTTAGTTTTATTTTTAAAATAATGTTCTGAAGGGTACACTTTAATTGTTTGGGTACACCTCCAAATAAAGTCCAGCTGTTATTAATATGGCTTGCACTTCATGGCTGGAAAGTTTGGATTGCCCACTTGAGTTTATTTATCAAACAGGAAGTTTATAACCAATAATAAGTTTAAGACAAAACTATTGAGTGGTTGAAAAATCTGATGAGACGGTAAGATTTTTTTCTACCAAAACATAATGAATAGCAATAGTACAGATTAGGACTGTGTACTGATCACTTTTTCATATTGAATGGATTTTAATTGCATGATGCTGGCTTTTCCATAAAGAATACTATGTCAAATGCCTTGCTATTTATCAATATTTTTTATATTGTATATGGTGCCACAACTCAGTTACACGCTTTATTCTCTCCTCATCCCCCTCCAAAAAACTTTCAAAAGTGTTTACAGTTTATTTCTATGGATTTTATCTAGACTAATTGCTATCCTTGTTCAGTTCTGCCCAGAAAGAGAGGAACAGTAATTTGGCCAATAGCAAGGACCCTGGGCACCAGGAATCCAGAAGTGCCTACTACTTTTTTTCTGCAACGGCTAGAACTATGAAATTACCATAAAGAAGCCATTAGTGGATAAAAGACATATCCTCAAAATAAAAACTGCTTCCACAATTCTGCCACTGTTTTTTTTCTTGTCTGCACACACCACAATAGAGAGGCAGGAGTACGAGCAGTGCTATTGTCAAGTGACAAGTTCACAATTTCTAGAAGCAGTCATGTGGCTGAGCGATACATTCTAGCTACGTAAATATGAGATAAAAAGCCTCATGATAATTGTATTTTATTATTCATTAATATCATATTTTAGAGTTTTTTTCTATAGAACAACCTATCCAAGGACAGAACTGCTTTTTAAAAAATTTATCTGCTAGAACAATACATGCAAATGTCACTCTAGCTGGATGTTCAGACACTGCCACCGAAGATCGAGGCCAGTCTCCTAGCTCTGTTTTGGGTTTCTCCAGCCCTTCCTGCACCTATTTTGACTATTGTCATTGGCAGAGAGCTACCCATTGTTTTCCCCAACAGTTTTTCACTGCACAAAAGATGTCTCTACCAGCCAGCATCTCTAAATGTATTTTAATAGAACAGCTGGCATACTTTGAGTATTCATATCTTATGAATGTTTAATTTGTCACGCCTATTTAATTTTGCAAATTTAGATCTGGTCAGACTAGGCTACTTATGCATTTTCGGTAAGAACAAATTTAAGAGGCTCCATAGATGCTGGCTTGGAGTGTACTCAATGCAAATAAATGAACATGTTTCTTGTATTTTTCCAGTGTTCCTACACCTTTAAATTCCTAGTATTCTAAGCTCAGTACAGATTCTCTAACTCAAGAAACAATGAATGTTCCACCTTCTGTAATATAGTTCTAGGCCACACGATGCAGACTGTTTATGATAAGAGAATGCTTTCTAAATTTAAGGTTTCAGCTTCCCAATAAAGTGACAGTTTTTGAAAATATTCTGTAAACCTTGTTTAATTTTTTGATTTGTTTAGCCCACATCCTTGGTGAATTGTTTCATTTTATTATATTTCATTAAGGACTGATTCTAAGACCAGTCACCGGTATTGTCGTGACGCCAGCCGTCTGTTTGGTGTTCAGTGAAGACACTCAGGACGGCCTTGGTAGTCAATTTAATTTATTTTGATAACTTCAGGAGTAGGATTGTGTTTGATGTAATGGTTCTGATTATGGTAAGAAAATGCACAACCACAACAAATGGAGGTGCAACATAACCAGTATTTTTATTACGATTTAAAAATTTGTTTTGTCTTTGTATTTTGAACACCTGATGTCAAGGTACACATTTATATTGGACTTTCCCACAGACTTATCTCATACGACCAGACGGATTCTGTCATTAGTTCACTATGTATTTCATATACTTGTCTAGACTTGTGCATTTGATTTCTCCAGATATGTAATACATATGAATTTTAGGTGATCTGCGATTCTTCCAAACTCCAAAACAGACAATGAGCAAGCAGTCTCGTTTGTTTCATGTTCCCTTCTTTTGCTCTCCCAAGCATAGCAACCACTGTGCTTGTGCTGTGGTTGCTACGGAAACTTTCTAGTTGATGCGGCTAGCAAGGGAGTATAGGAATTTAGTGACTAATGTCACGCCATTCAGATGCTGGCCACGAATGCGTTGGTGTTACACAGGAGGGTTTCCCTGCTTGAGAAGTGTTCCCTTGCACATCACAGAAGACTGGAGGTCTTACACAAAGAGTAGATGGCTCTAAAGATGGAAGCACTGGAAAAGTTGGGAGGTGACTAGATCTCGATATTTTACATTGACTACATTGTGCATTTATGTGGCACATGATGTATTTAGAGCCAATGTAAGGTAAGGAAAATGTTTCAATACATGTTCACTTTAAGCTACTGCTTCTCAACTCTGTCCCCAAGAGTCCAGGTTTAGTGTGCTTCTAGGCCTGGGACGCAATGTTAGAAAAAAAACCTGCATGTTTCTAATTTTTTACTGTCCCTTTAAACCTCTTATCTGGTTAGTTAAAAATGTTACTTGACTAGTTGCTGCAGAGACAAAGTATGCACTGATCAGACACATTAAAACCGCTGAAGTGAAAAAAATGTATGGATATATTGGGCAGCAAGTAAAACGTTCTTGCATTTCATGTGATGGAAGCAGGAAAAATGGGCAAGCATTGTTTTTGACAAGGGCCAAATAATGAGGGCTAGACGACTGTTAGAGCTTCTTCAAAACGGCAAGCCTTGTGGGGTGTTCCCAGTATGTAGTGATTAGTACCTAACAATAGTGGAACAAGGAAGAGCAGACGCACTAGGATTATGGGCGCACAAGGCTCATTGATGCATGTGGGGAGCGAAAGCTGGTCTGAACACAGAAGAGCTACTGTAGCTCAGATTTCTGAAAAATGTAATGCTGGTCACGACAGAAGGATGTCAGAACACAGTGCACTGCAGTTTGCTGCTTGTTGGACTGTGCAGCCACAGATCTGTCAAAATGTTCATCATGATCCCTGTCCACTGCCAAAAGCACCTACATTTGAAACATGAGCATCAGAAGTGGACCATGGAGTAATGGAAGAAGGTTGTCTAGTCTGATGAATCAGGTGAATGGCTGTGTGTGTCGTTTACCTGGGGATAAGATGGCAGCAGGATACACTGCGGGAAGAAAGCAGTGTTAAGCTCTGGACAATGTTCTGCTAGAAAATCTTGGGTCCTGGCATTCATGTGGATGTTACTTTGGCATTTACCTAGAGATTGTTGCAGACCACATACATCCCTTCAGGGCAATGGTGTTACCTGATGGCAGTGGCCTCCTTCAACAAGATAATGCACACTGCAAAAAATGTTTTTAGTTCCAGGTGTTGCCTTGGCCTCCAAATTCCCTGGATCACATTCCTATTGAGCATCTGTGGGATGTGCTGAAACTACAAATGCTATCCATAGAGGCCCACCTCACAACTTGCAGTACATAAAAGATCTGCTGCTAATGTCTGGGTGCAAGATACCACAGGCCCTTGCCTCGATGCATCAGAGCTGTTTTGGCAGCACGAGGGGACCTACACGACACTAGGCAGATGGTTTTAATGTTGTGGTTGATCAGTGTAAGTGATCGGAAGAGAGATCATCATTTTCTTTCTAGATTCATCAGCAGGGTTTTCACTAAAGTGAGAACTGGGAATTCAAAGTGAATTTCAAATTTAAGGGCAAAATAGTTGAACTAGAAACATTTAAGCAATCCTTCAATTTCGGCTACTTTGTTATAAATTTGTAATTCACTTTAAATTTTCAACAACTCCCACGTTAGTGAATAACACTGTTAATCTATCTGGGTAACGTCTGCTTTATTGCTTCAGTATGAAACCAATTATTTTTCTTGGAGCAATTGAAGATAAATAGCTACTGTGTATTACATTTGCAGAGTTATTCACTAAACTGCGTATTCCACACTTGAAGTCGAAATAGCTAGGCTGGGGGAAAATTGACGAATTTGCCTGTTGTAGCCGAAAGTTTAAAATGCTGGTTAATTCTCAACAATTCCCCTTTTATTGAATATCATTGCTTGCTTCTACTTTGAACAGACAGGAACAATTGAGTGAGAAAATGGAACCAGCAGATATTTACAATGTATATATTTGTATTTATTAAATTATCAGGGCTCCTTTTATTTATTCATTTTACATTGATAAACTATATTTCTTTCCTTTGCTCCCATCTGTGGTGTATGTTGCAAGTTAAGCTGAAATGGTTAATGAGTAGTACCAGCATCTAGTTATTCTCTTCAATGCTTACACCCAGTCTGCCTGACGCCTGCCTACCACCGGCGCCACGCTTCTATTTGCAATGTGTGAACTTTAACTCGCTGTCCTATCTTTTGTGTGTGTCACATCATGATGAAACCTATGGGAAACTCTTCAACTAAAGCCCCCTAATTCCGTCCAGGCAGGTGCTGGGTGTGAACTTGTATACCTCCTCAATTCTGGTAAATGAGATTTAAAAAAAGTTAGATACGCTTTTCATTACTGTAAAATGTATTGCAGTCTCCTCTACCCAAATAAAACAAAACGCCAGGCTACAGATCGTCACACCAAGGTTTTTTGTAATGCAGATTATTATTTGCAGAGTTAGTGTGGTAATGTGAATTTTGGATATTGATTACAGGATAGATAGTAATGTGGAAATAATGGACCCCTTGGGAACCAGTTAAAAAAAAAAAAAAAATCACTCAAGTCTAATAAGTCTTAGAAATATACGTTTTTAGATTTAGATTTTCAAATAATCTAGTAAAGTGAAATATAAATTTTGCTCAAACCATGTCTTGTAGTTGAGAGATCGATTGGGGCTTACGTTGTACGGACCCAGATGCAATGCTCAATATAGCATGTGCTGTTTTTTGTTTTGTTTAGTTCAGGATTAGACCTAAAAAAAAAAAAGCAACATTTTTTTTAGCTTACAATATACAATTTGTTCAATATGGAAAATATTGCATATCACTAGACAATTTTAATATAATATTATTCAGACGCAAGGCAAACACTTTAGAAGAAGAGGGACTGCTAGCATAATATCTAAAACCTTATGTTAATGGTCTGTGGAAACCAGTAACTGTAGCTGTATATCCACCCAGCTCAGCCGGACTAATCACTGTTTTATGCCTGCCTAGATGTAGACCTACAGGCACTTGTCTTAGATATGTCTGTCAAAGAGAGCCATCCTTCCGGACAAGTAAGGAGAAAGCCAGACAAGTGGTATGAGATGTTATGACTGCTGTGGATGCAGAGTAGATGATTCAGTGCTATTGGATGGGGAACCAAGATAGATCCAAATAAAAGCTTAGATTTGAAAGACTAGAGTCATTTGACTCTGTTAGGGGAGCATTTGGGAATTTAAATATTGTAAAGATGGAGAGCCTTCCTTTTCTTGGGAGAAAGCAAAGATGGGAAATTGGCACTTTGGAAAATGTCACGATTTGTTTTAGGTTAAACCTTCTGAATAATCTCTGCTGCTGACAGTCATGCTGTGAGTTGTCTGCCATTGCTGCTACACCGGTTCTAGTGTGGAATACATTTTCTTAAAGGGAATCTCCAGTACCAAGGAAATGGATTACTGCAGGTCCCCTCTCACCTCCCATCCCCGGTTGCTGAAGGAGTGAAAACCCCTTCAGTCACTTACCAGAGGCAGCAACATGTCCCACATCGCTGCTTCTTCCTCCGCCGCCGCTCCTCCTCTTCATCGCGTCAGCCGGTGGGGGAGACCTAATGCGCATGTGCGGCAATGCCGCGCATGCGCATTAGACCTCTCCATAGGAAAGCATTGAAAATGCTTTTCAATGCTTTCCTATGGGGATTTTAGAGACGATGGAGGTCCTCACACAGCATGAGGACGTCCAGCGACGATATAGCACAGGTTTTCTGTGCTATGGACCAGGAAGTGCCCTCTAATGGCTGTCTAGTAGACAGTCACTAGAGGAGGAGTTAACCCTGCAAGGTAATTATTGAAGTTTATGAAAACTGCAATAATTACAGTTGCAGGGTTAAGGGTAGTGGGAGTTAGCACCCAGACCACTCCAATGGGCAGATGTGGTCTTGGTGCCTGGAGTGTCGCTTTAATGGGTGTCATCCTCTAGACCAGTGGTAGTCAACCTTTTTCTACCTACCGCCCACTAATGCATCTTTATTGATGGAAAAATTTCCTTACCGCCCACCAGTTTTCGTGCAAGTGCGGAATATATTTTAGAAAGGAGGGTGTTTTAAAAAAATAAATAAATGTACGTACATTTATCTTTTTATTTCTACTTAATGCATGTTTATAATGTTTTTAACTTTATAAAGTTTAATGAGAAACAATAAAGTAAATTGAAATTACCTTTACTAGTGATTAATGAGATCCTTGAGGTTGATGCTGCAAGACTAAATATTTGATATCTGGTTCGATTTTCGTAAGGAACAAACAAAGGTCTCCTCTTTCGGTGATATTCAGAAAACTTCTCTGTTTGCGCATAATATGATTTCTCATCTGTGCATCAGCTCCCCTCCTCTCCCTCCTCAATTCCCCTCCCCACCTTTTTTCCCCTTTTTTCTATTTTTTAACCTTACTTATAGCAATGCCCAGTAGGAAGGCTGAGCTAGGTAGCCCACTTACTATTACTTACTATAGCCCACTATAACAGACAGGCACACATACATACATACAGACACACACACACAAGACACACATACATAAAGACAGACAGGCACACATATACATACAGACACACAGACAGGCACACATACAGACACACACACACAAGACACATACATACTGTCATGCCGTATCTGTTCCGGGTCCGGTGTTTCCGGTATGCGGAGCCGGCCCCGCCCCCTTTCTGACGCGGCGCTCTTACGCTATTTAGAGACCGCGCCAGATACAAACTGCTTGGTGCCTTTGGGACCTACTTCCGTGTTTAGACGCCGGCTACACAAGCTTCACTCGCAAGCCTCCCTTACCCTTTGAACTACTAAAATGATTGTGCTTTACATCCGCTATTGGATCCTGGAAAATGGACTGTTTACCAATTTATACTTGGACTCTAATTCCGATCTCTTGGAGGACTACTCACATGAATCTTAAGTATAATTTTCATTCTATTCTCTGGAGACTCAGTTATAACTGAATTGTTTCTTGCTTGCTAAAATCTTCTCTGCTGACTGCATGCTATTCCTATGGAAGATAACTCCCATCAAGCTTAAGTATACTATTCAAATCATCTCTGAGGATTTACTTATTTATGAACTGTGTTTTGCTTGTCATAATCTACAGTTTCTTCTTATTGAATTATTACCTATATGCTATTATTCACAGTTACTAAAATTTATTGCAATCATTAAAACTTCGTTTAATTCTCTAATTGCCTTCAATCACCTCTTTGCTTAAAGCTACAGTATTGATAATTTAGAAGATTCTCCGTTTCATTTCTATTGTAATTAAGGAGTTCTTCAAGCTGCAGTTGAGTTCCAATTCCAGAAACCCTTGTAGCATAACACATACAAACAGACAGGCACACATACATACAGACACACACATAAGACATACATACAAAGACACATACACACATACATACAAAGACACATACACACAACACATACATACAAAGACAAGACACACATACATACACACATATATACAGACACACACATATATACAGACAGACACACACGACACATACATACACACATACAGACACACACACACACACAAGACATACATACAAAGACACATACACACACAACACATACATACAAAGACAAGACACACATACATACACACATATATACAGACACACACACATATATACAGACAGACACACACACGACACATACAAAGACACATACATACACACATACAGACAGACACACACACACAAGACATACACAAACACACACAAAATATTTTAGTCACCCTCCTGTTTCCTACCTTTTAGGTGCAGGAGGGTGACATTCCCTAGGGGTCCAGTGGTGGCTCAGGTGGATGGGAGTCAGAGTTCCCACTCTGACTCCCTGCTCTTCCTCCCGCGCGGTCTCAGTGTTAGCTGGGAGGAGTGTCGAGCAGTCACTTCCTCCCAGCTCTGTGATGTAATCACAGGGAGCCCGGTCGCACTGTTAAAGTGCCCAGCGCTGACCGGGCCCCCTCACAATCCACATCCATCGGGTGGCCCTGACAGCATGGGCCACCCGATGGACCCCATAAGTGGTGATGGCGCACCCGCCCAGTCTCTCAAAATTAGAGAATCCCTACCGCCCACCTGGAATCCTGAAACGCCCACTAGTGGGCGGTAGGGACCAGGTTGACGACCCATGATTTAGATGGTACATAAATGGGAGGGGGAGAGAAAAAGGATAATATTGATTTGTATCAATGTAAGGAATATTTCAAATAAACCAATACACTCACAAACAACGAGCAGGTGAAGGCTGCTAAGGTTATAAAGCCTCCAAACATCCAGCTCTCATACGATTTTGTAACTTCCAGATGCTGAATGATGAATGAGCAGCAATGAAGATAATCATATTTATTTGACACTGAGAAATAATTCCAAAACACTGGACTGGACCATAAGCCCCTATTGCTTCCACACAGTTCACAATACCAAAGCTCCTGAATACAGTTGCCGGCAACACTGTTACTCGGAGCATGGTCCGACACTTACTTGACATGGGGCAGTCACGTCCTACGTGCATGATGATACGATTCCACGGCTTCCTCGGATCTGGGTGTATCCTTGATTGTTCCATATTTACTTGTATCAGGGGTCAAGTCCTGGGGGAAAAAGTGTGGGAACTCACCCAAGATCCCTCCCCCCAAAAGAAAAATACACTTGTATGCATATATAAATGCGTGCACACACACACACACATACACTCAGACACTCACAGACGCACACACATACTCAGACACTCTCACAATGGTGTATTTTAATTTTGTGCTGCCCTAGGCATGACTATACCTGAGGACCTTCTAATCTAAATTTACCACCCCCTCCTGTCAATGGCGCACTTCTTCCTCTTTAGACTCCACCTTTTCCTGCTCCTTTTAAAGAAATACTATAGTGCCAGGAAAACAAAGCTGTTTTCCTGGCACTATAATATCCTATAGTTAAGCCCCTCCCTCGTGTCCTCTCCTCCCCCACTCGACACTGAAGGGGTTAAAATCATATTGGTATTTAGCAAATGCTGGATGTCCTCATGCACAGGGTGAGGACG